TAGTGTAGGTTCCATAAAAACCTATATGGAACATAAATTTGGACTTCCCTGGTCCAGCACCCTTGAGAACTGACTGGTCCCAAATGAGGGAATTTTCTGGAACAAGGGAGGTGACTGCCGGCCCTTCTGCAGCTGGTCTCTGGGCTCTCAGGGGGCTGCCAGCTTCCCACCTCATGTCTGCTCCTTGCCAGTGACTCCCAGGTTCCCCTTCCAGCCACCAATCCTGCTGTTGTCCCTGGTTGGGATACAAAATCCCATTTAATCAGCATTGCACTGGGCTGCTCCAATTGGGCTGGGGACCGCCTCAGGCAGGGGGCTGCTCAAGCCCAGCCAGTCCACTGGTAATGCTTATGGGTTAACTTGACATTCTTAGTTGGGCACCCAGCTTCCTGCCACCAGTCTTGCTGACCCAGCTCTGCTTCTAGCCCTGGCCCTGATCCTGACCCCTCTGCCACTAGACTCCCAGCCAGCCCCCCTCCCGCCTGCCAGGGTTCTCTGGTCCAGCAATATTCAGGGTTTGTTACAGGGCCAGACAGGTTCAACTATATTAGAATAGTGCCCTTTTATTCTGGGGCAGATGTTCTGTCCCATGTCTAGTTGTTTTTTCTAGTTCTTGCTTTCGGCTTCTTGCCAGTACTATCCAGCAGTAATAGGGAATAAAAATATCTTCCTTGACTCAAAGAAATTAGAGATGGAAGAGCCCAATAAAGTCACATTTTGTTTCCCTCAGCCCCACCTTTGATGAAATCAGGATTTGGCTGTTTCCAGCAGCATATTCCCCAGGGCTTTTTCCAAGTTAGTTTCAAATGACCCATGTGATTTAGCTTCCATTACTAGGAGAGGTTATTCTATCGATCATGTACCTTACTCTTAAGGAAAGTTTCCCTTTGCTCAGTTTCATCCTTTTGTGCCTTGTTACATCTCTTTGGATCACTCAACATTTCCATTTCTTCCTTGCTGTTTATACTCTTTGTGTTTGTGGGGAACTCAATGGTGGGGTGGTCCTGGAGAGGACAGAAATCTGCTTTCCCGCAACTTGGAACAACCAACAATTTAGCATGAACAAATTAAAACTAATTACTGATTGCATGACACACAGCTCTTGTTGACTCCCCAGGGGCTGAAAATGAAAACTGACCTGCGGAAGACAATGGAGATTTGCCAACGTAGCCTGCTATTGGTTTAAATACCTTTTCTGGCTTATGCCCTTGGGTGCATGTGGCTGAGACAGTGGGTGTCTACTGGGTATTGCACTGAATTAAGTCAGACGTCCTTGAGTAATAAGTGCTATTAATTTGCTGTGTAGCTTTGGGCAAATCAGATATTGTTTCTCCCTGCTTCCCCGTCTGTAAAATGGGGGGGGGGTGATCTTATCTTACAAGGTCGTAATGTACACTGGAGATGTAAAGTGTTATTCCATGTGAACATAAATAATATATGCTCTGTTGGAGGAGTGCATGGGGTGGAACTATAGCTTGGACAATGAAGCAAGAGGCAAATTCTAATCAGTCTGCAGTCAGTTGTTCTGTTTTGCACCTATGATAAAGTGCAGTTCAGAGCAAAGAAGAAGCTTCTTGTGGAGGGAGGAAAAGGAGCCTTTCTTCCTTCAACAAATTGTGGAAATCAGTGACTAAATACCTGGAACCCCAAGCTCAATTGATTGCCTGACTTCAAAACTTGGCAGTAAAGGTAGTTTAAATGTTACTTACGTATTTAATTGAATAGATTTAATTTGAATAGATGATTTAAAATAAATTTAAAATTCACACTTGTATTAAATAAATTATTTTCAAAATCATCACATTTTACCCATGTTGTTGGAACCGAGTATAAATTAATGCAATATGCACCCAAATTTCCAGTCACCATCTGGGGAGAAGAGAGAAATATTATCCAAGGGTTGGATTAGTTGCATTTGTTTAATAGGTAAAGAGCTCAGCTTTTTCACTGATGTGAGTGAAGTGTTAAATCATAGGTGGATTCAGTGTCACAGTATGTTGTTGGTTTTTTACTGGTATTAGGTTGCAGAACTCTCTTCTCTAATAATTTGTATTGTTCCTCTTTAGTGGTGCGCTGTTTTCAAACACGTAAAGGCATATATAATCTTTGCAAAATAATAGGTTCATCATTTAGTTGCTAGCTGTTGGCAGCCTTTCATATTCCTGAAATCTTATTTTCTGGTTTATGCAGTTTACATGGTTATTTTGTAGGTTTGCTTTCTCCTTCTTTGCTTTGGCAAATAGGTTTTTAGAGGGAGAGTTGTCATGTGGCTTTGTGTTTCCTCCAATTCTTTGTAGTTTATAGGAATGTGAAAAAGCATTTTTTTTTTATAAACATGTAACTGCTGAAATTTTCAGCAGTTACATGTTCACATTCAGGCTG